CTCTTTCAAGAACCCCAAAACTATTCTCAGAGCATTGATTCCATATTATTACACTCTGGATAACCCCAAATCCTCCTAGCACTCAAATCCAAACAAAACACTAACACTCTATCTTGAGTCTTCCGCAAGCTGTTCTTTTAAAAGGACTTTAATCTGATTTGTTCAATATTAGTCATTTTAAAATCAGTAGCAATTTCTGAACAGCAAACGCTGCTGATTTTAGCTCAACTTGTAAACAACTTTCTTTCACATTTGGAAGGTTTGTTATTTTCCGAAGGAGAGTTTGCTCTCCTTTTGCAGATGCACATAGGAATTCATACACAGGAATAACTGCAAATCCTTAACTCTGTGTTCCCTGAGCTACTCATCTTCTACCAGTTACTGCCCATCATATCCACACTACACCTTTACAATTTACCAGCTACTTCTTCCTGCCCTGTTGATTCGACAAAATGTTTATACCATACCTATTATGCACCACTGGGGGTATAATGGTCACAACCCTAATTTCTAAAAAACTCAAAACTGAGGTGATTTCTTTCATGCTTGGTAAGGACAGAACTGGAAGCCAGGGTTCCTTATGCCTAATGAGGTATGCTGTTATGACAGACTGTCTTGAATTCTATTTGACACTATTTTAATTTGTTCTTGCTCTTAAATTATCTTTACTTTTACACTTTTACTCGCATTATTTTCTAAAGCAGAAACCCCACCTCATGCAGAATGCAGAAATAACTCTGTGGGCCCAGCCTAGATGTCACATCCTCTAACAATGCTGGAACCCACATGGCTGACTGCAGATTTGTATCCCTTGGTTGGCCTGGAAACAAAACAGGTATGTGCACAGGTACCCAGGAGCCTGATGACCAGAGTGCTGGGGAAAGAGGACTGCAGTGTGACAGGACCCTGTCAGGAGTGTGTGCTCGCTCGCTCTTTCACTTATGCACACATGCTGTGGCTTAAATAATAAATCACTCTTGTTAAAAAGGACTCTTGGCCCAGCCATGGTGGAGCAAGCAGTGGGGGTACTTCTGCATGATGCTGTTTGCATCCCTACCTGAACATGCCCAGGGTACCTACTAGCTGCAGGGCGCAGATCACAACATGAGGACCCTGTTGGGGGTGCCTGTGTATGCCTCCCTCTCAAGAAGGAAATAAACTTTTTTTAAAAAGAATTATTTAACCTTATTTTTATTCGTTGATTCAAAGGGATAGAGAGAGAGAGAGAGAGAGAGGGAGGGAAAGTGAGAAAGTAGGTACAGGACTTGAACCACAGTTGGCCATGTGGGAGTCCAGTGCCCTTAACCACCATGCCACCTGCCAGCCCTAGAAAGTAAACTTTCGAAAAAATTCATGTGTACATGTACACAAGAGAGTGGGAGATAAGCATATTCAATGGTCTTGTCACATGGCAGTCCCCTTGCCCCAGCCCTCCAGCTCCTCAGGACCTTGGGTGCCCACGTGACTACACATGCATCTGGCATGTTTCAGGTCAGCTGGGCCAGGGCTCTGAGCTTGTGGTCAGCCATGTGTTTTTCAGCACAGCAGTTTGGTGATTGTGCCAAATAAATAAACTTTTAGAAGAATGAACTCTTACCATTTTTCCAAGCAGGGTTGATACTCAGGTCATATGCAGCCTAGCTATACCAAATGTTAAAATAAACACTGGGACCAGCAGATGGAGTAATGGTTATGTGGTTGTACTCCCACATAGTCAACCATGGTTCGAGTCCTGGATCCAGAAGCTTACAACTCATGCCACGCATGTGTGCGTGTGTGCCCAAAATCCCAAAAGGAGAACAGAAGAAAAGCATGGCCATTACCCCAGGGGGTGATTTCTCACTTTCTGTCTCTAGCAAGCGCATGTGCCCATAGCAAAATAATCTCTCTTTAAAAAAAAAAAAAAAAGATAGAAAGAATTGAGATGCTGACTCTTACCTATGTAATAAGTAAACGAAGAGCCATAGTCCCCTAACAAAAGCCAAAAGAAATATAATGTAAATGGTTTCATCTTTCAATTGCTAATGTTATGTACAGTATATCTCAAGTAAGCACAGCTGTGCATTCATGAACCACTAGCCTCTGTAGAATTTTAGGAATGAACACATCCGAGCCTGTGAATACTCTTACCGTAGAAAGTAAAAGCAAACATTTTGTATTTTCAAATTTTTATTTCTGTGTAAAACAAAGACAAAACTCCTGGAAGTCAAATAAGGAAAATATCTGAAATTACAGAACTATTAAGTCATAAATGAAGAATGGAGGTAGAAGCTAAGCAATATAATCCACAAAGTTTTAGGAGAGTATTTATTTCCAGCAACCATCAGATTTCTCTAGTAAGATCCTTTTTAAAACTCCCAAGTTCCAAAAAAATTAGTTCATTCTCTCTTGACCAACAGAAGACAAAATAATTTGTCATGTTAACAAAGTCAATGGTTTTACTAAAAGCTGCTGACATTTCTATCAGTAGTAACCATAGGGGGGCCGCTGGTTGTAACCATAATGTCCATATTGGTGAGGATAGTAAGGCTCTTGTCTGTGCTGTGGGTAATTGTTACCCCAGGATCGTCCATGCCACTGATTGGATCGATTGTCACTTGGCCACCCCCGTCTGCTATCCCTACCTCTAAATTGTCTGTTATCTTGCAACCTAAAACAACAAAATAAAAAGATTTTAAAATTTTCCTTGTAAAAAGAAACGAATATGACAAATCTATCCCAGTGCATTTGATTTTCCAATCTAATACATATTAAATAAGAGGAAAAAACATTTTTCTCTAGAGAATATCGTGATAATACCAGTTACTGAAAACATTCCTAAGATTTAAATAATTTTTCTAGTATTATATGCTACTGAGAAATAGGGACACTACAAACAACAAACTCAAACCAGTAGGATAATTCTGACTCAAACTGAAATCTATATCCAGCTGTACAAAAGCACTATGGTAATTTATCCCTTTGACTACTTTAAATTATTAAATAGGTCATTTCCATTACATAGAAGTTTTAGAAGACTCGGTTTTTAAAATGTATTTGCGAAGAAATACTAAAGTCTATTTAAAAAAAAAAAAACTGAACAGCAAAGAAAATACATGGCACTGACAAAAACGTACAGCAAATGTTTATCAGGCACCTAACTACTGTGCCAGGCACTGTTACAGGCACCAGGTATAGCACACTGAAAACACCGGGTGCTGCCCTCACGGGCTGATGGCTGAGCAATTAAAGCTGGCCTCGCAGATCAACCACACGCATTTGTACATACCGGTTGCCTCTATTTCTTTGGTTCCCACCAGCTCTGCTATTCCATTCCTCAACAATTGGAGGGGACTCGGGAGGCCGTTTCACATATTCCTGGTACTCTTTGTCATCTTCTGTGAATCGACTAGCAAACATCTCTTCAAAGTGTGAAATCGTTTCAGAAGTGTCAGTCATCCTGAAATTTTGTAGTTTTAAGAGAAATTATTATAAAACCTATAATTTATATCATCTGGGTTTTCCAGGCCCTTTTGGATTCACTCAACAAATAGTAAGAGGAGACTTTAAAAAGTTCACTGAAAAATTGGGAACCAGCAGTTAGCGTAATGGCTATGTCGCCGGACTCCCACGTAGTCGACCGCGGTTCGTGTCCCAGACCCGGTAGCTTAAAACTCATGCTGGGTGCATGTGTGTGCGTGCCCAAGCTCCCGAGAGGAGAATGGAGAAGGGATTGCAGCATGACCATCCCCTCTGGGGGGTGATTTCTCGCTTTCTGTCTCTCTTTCTCTGTCTGGCGAGCGCACGCACCCTATAGCAAAAAACCTCTCAAAAAAAAAAAAAAAGTTCACTGAAAAATGGAATTAAAATACAAATTTATTTTGATGAAAGAAATTTTAAAATTCATGCATAGTTTTATTCATAGTATGCATTTTCCATGAACTTTTTGAACACATCCCAACATTTCTTCACCCATATTCTCAGTCCTCTACCTCTAGGAAAACTGCAAAGGGTCCATCTTTAAGAAACCAAGGGAGAGGGACCAGCAGGTGGCAAGATGGTTACGTTGCAGTCAACTGGAGTTTGAGTTGTGGATCGGTGGCTTAAAACTCACACTGGGCACAAGTTTGTGCCCAAAATCCCAAGAGAAGAATGAAGGAGAAGGGATTGCAGTGCGGCCATCCCCACCCAAGGGTTGATTTCTTGCTGTCTCTCTGTTTCTCTAGTGAGCACACACACTCTAGAGCAAAAATATCTCTTAAAAAAAGGGGAAAAAAAGGGGGGGCCACCAGGTGGTGTAATGGTCGACTGCGGTTTAAGTCCCAGACTCAGCAGCTTAAAACTCACATCAGACGTGTGCGTGTGTGCCCAAAATCCTGAGAGGAGACAAGACGGGACTCCGGTGTGGCCGTCCCCCCTGGGGGGTGATTTCTCATTTTCTGTCTCTCTGTCCCTCCAGCAAGTGCACGTGCCCGATAGCAAAACTCTCTAGGGGCCAGCAGGTAGTATGGTGGTTAGGGGTACTGGATTCCCACAAACCTGACCTGGTGGCTTGGTTTCTCACTTTCTCTCTCTCACTCTTTTTTTCTGGTCAAATTAAAATAAATTAATGTTGAATAAAATAATTCTTAAGGAAAAAAACTCTTAAAAAAAAAAAAAGGATACATAAAAGAAACCCAAGGAGAGTTCACTTCTTTTACTCTTCACCCAAGACCTTCACCCTACCTTAGCAGTATTACGGAGTTAGTTCCATTTCCTAGTCTTCCTTGACCAAGTATTCCCATCCCCTACCCTTCATCATTCTGCTCTTTGCCTCAAGATTCTTAAAACCTATTTTATGATCTGGAGCATATGTAACATCCTG